AAAAAAAAAAAAAAAAAAAAAAGGAGGTAAAGGAGAGACTGCGTAGCAGCGCTTTCTTCATCGACTTAACTGTGAGAGCAGCGTTCATCTGGTTCCAGTCTTAACTATTTCCTCTCAAGTAAGTCATTATAAGAAAACTGCAACTTTTAGAAATTGTGCCCTCTTTTGGTTGTTTTTTCCCTTCTTCTCAACCCATTTAATCAATTCTGATTTATGCTGTTTAGATGCAGGCCAAGACAGTGTTCCAAGACTGTCTTCTTTTTAAGTTTTGTACAGTGTTTAATGCAATTCGGGCATCTTGGGAGTAAGTCAGGGCTGGTGCTAGCAATTGCCACGCTTGGGAAAATCCCTGAGCCGCGACTCCTGTCTGAAGAAGGCCAATACCAAGATTTTTCATTAAAAAAAAGGAACTGTGAAAGGCTCAGAGCTTCGCTTTTCATTACAAGATGCTGCAGCTGTGGTGATGTCAGCAGCGCCCATCCTTTCTGCTCAGCACCACAAAAAACTACCAGGTAGACATCGGTCCTGTAAGTCAAATAGGGCCACTTATTATATCTAAAACAGACAACAGGACAAAATAGAGTGGAATGAGCGTTGGTGTGGGCAGACTGTAAATTAGGCTTGCTTATTTGTTTGTTTATTATTAAACCTACCAAAGTTTGCCTGTCTCAATATCACTTGCTGTCTTTCGTTTTAGAATGTAACAAAGACAGTGGAAGAAGCAAAACCTAAACCTCCCACAATCCAGGAGCTGAAGGAGAAGATCAGCAATTACAACTCAAAAGTCAACAATTGCTTGCTGATGAAGCTGGTTGGTACTGCAGTTTTGGATATTATTTCCTTTTTTTTGGGGGGTGGGGGGGTGGCCCTTAAAACTATTTTCCCTTTCAGCATTTATGATGAGAGGCTTGCTAGGTTCTAGGGGAACTAATCTGTTTACCACTCTAGGAGCCCCAGATGAATGTGGACATCTTCTCTGCCTTCACTAACTGAAATAACAAATTAATTAATCTGTTAATTGGAGTTCTCTATAAAAGGATGGCTGTGTTTACTAGGGTGTGCCACACTTTGGATTCAAAGGCAAAACCGTGCTTTGGAGCATACCAGGTTATGCGTGCAGCACACATTTGCAATTTCTTCTTCAACCAAATGCCTCTTTTCCGGGGATCACCCTGCAGCTGCCTGGGCAGCTACAGAATCTCCTGAAAAAGTGGGGTAGCTTTAAGGAGTCGCAGACAGATGCTATGTCCATGTACTCTCTGAAGCACCTTTTTGCCTTCAGATACGAAGTGCTGCACAGCCCTAATGTTTACTTTCTGAGCTCTGAGAAGAAGAGTGGTCAGATCAGCTGAACTATCTAAAGCAAAAGTGCTGGGGCTTTATGAGTGACTATTAAGTAAGTAACTGTCAAAAAGAGCTTTTCTCACACTTTTCCTCCCTTCTCAGCTGGAGCCTTCAGTCACATCGTGATGGATGTATGGGCCACATTGGTTGACTTGCATTTGGATTTTATGTTATTTCACGCACTTACTGGAATTTATTAGCATTATTTTGTCACACATTTGACATAACGTCCCTGCTTTATTGACATAGCATCTTGAGTGGCAGAGAAATGCCATTAATTTGTTCAGTCCTTTGTCTGCTTTTCCTTCATCTGAAGATGTCTTATAGGATGTATACCCCATATAGGCCTTTGGATAGATTTCTCTTGGTCTGCAATAGAACATAGCGGGAGGCCACCTTATTGAAGAATTTATCCAATGAATTTTATAGCCTGGCTTTCCTGGATGGATTCCCTGCAGCTGTTTCTCTGTATATTGGGACATTGCATTGTATGGCTTACACGATTTCTGAAAAGTAGAGAAGTAGTCCTAGTTGTGCTTGTCAGCAACTACAATGAAACGTATTTTGTTGTAATCTTTTAGATTTACTTGGGCCCCCAATAACCCAGACAATAAAGAATAAAGCAATTATTTGTTGTTTACATCTGGATCAAATAGTTTCCAGTCTGGACTAAAAAAACACTGGTTCCACTCCCCAAGTCTAAGCTACTTCACAGAATTGCTGTAGGAGATAGCAGGATGCCAGGAAGATAGATAAGTAGGTGTAAATACTTGCTTTAGCAGAGAATTGGCTGTACTTCTAAGATTGGGCCTGTGTTTCCATGGCATTGATTTTACTAAAACTCTGTGGGATTAGTACAGGTTTTATTAGCTCAAACAGGCAGTCTTCGCAGGGCTCCACTCTGAAAGGTCTAGTTTACTTTGTTTTAATGATGGCTCACAGGGATTCTGATTAGAAGTGTGATTTTTAAGAGCCTGTTCC